TGGGACCCTTTTTGTCTGGCCCCCTGCCTACTTCTCCAGTCCTTTCTCTCCACTCAACTGTTCAGAAAAAAAAAAAAAATGCTGCCTGCCATTTCAGCAAACAAAGACTGTTGTTTGCCATCAAGCCATCAGCCACTAAGGAACATTCAGAATGGAGAAGAGGATACTGGCCCTAGATGTGTGTCAAAGGAATGATTTCAATGAGCCCAGACTCTTGCATCTTCCCACACATAGAAGAGCATGAAACTCATTAACTTGAGATGTCTGTTTTCTTGTTTAGCAATCATCTTTTGATATTTGACAACTTGCTGATTTGTTTTTATTAAAAAAAAACAACTACTATGTATCCTGGGCTTCCCAGGTGGCTCAATGGTAAACAATCCACCTGCAATGCAGGAGATTCAGGAGATGCAGTTTCAATCCCTAAGTTGGGAAGATCCCCAACTTAGAGAAGGGAATGGCAACCCACTCCAGTAATCTTGCCTAGAGAATCCCATGGACAGAGAAGTCTGGAGGGCTACAGTCCATGGGGTTGCAAAGAGTTAGACATGACTGAGCACGCAACACTACCACTACCTATGTGTCCTGGCTCTTCCCTTACCTCTTTGGAACAGATTCTCAGAGCTATCTGACAGGCTGTATCCCAGGCTATAGTCTTCAATAAGGTCCCTGAATAAAACATAACTGGCATTTTCTAAGTTGTACGTTTTTCTTCAGTCCACATCTCTTTGCATAACACTCAAGTGATTCCTGCTCTTGCAGCTGAATAAGTCAGACTCACAGTCATCTCCGTGTCTCTGCATGTGCCACACAGAGACTCCCTCCTTATGGAATTCATCTTCTTTCCTCTGATTCTTCTGTGACCTAATGTCTCTTGCTGGTCCCTTGGGATTGAGTTCAAGTGTCACGTTCTCTGAGAAGAGTTCCCTGATTTCCTCTCATGTAGGTCAGGGCACCTCGTACTTTACTCTGGTGACACTTAATGAAACTATTTTCTAATTGCTTATTGACCTATGTCCCTCAAGCTCAAAGGGGTACAGAAGCTCATGTCCAACTTTCCTGGAAAATTTCCAAAGTGAGAGGTGGCTAGGCTTTCCCTCAGTGAGAAAAGAGGACTTGTGTGGGAGGGGTCTGCTCTCCAGGTATTGGGTGAGACAAAGGATTTCTCCTGAAGGAAAGGGACATCTCAGAAGGGACCTGGGCTTGAGTCATTTGATGGAGACCTAAGCGCACAGCTCCGCAGGGTGCCGTTACAAAAAAAAAGTCTGCTTGGGCTTTGCCAATAGAACAAATGAGGGGGGCAGTTACAAGTAGTCAACCAATTACTGCATACAGGGCCCAGAGCAATGTGGCGGGATAGCTCCATGGGACTGAAAACTCCACATACAGGAAAAGGAAACCTTTCCACCAAGGCCAGAAAAGTGAAATAACTTGCTTAGGATTTCAGAGCTAGGACGTGACAAAGCTAGGATTTGACTCTGATTCAACAGGATTGGATGGAATGGATGGCAGGGCAGGAGTGACTGGGAAAGACTTGGGTGTGTGTGTGTGTGTGTGCGTGTGAACGACCAGGTGAGCAAAATACCAAGATTTCGTGGAGAAGTAGGTGGGAACAGAAAACAACATGGATAACATCCCTTACAGATACAGCTTCAGAAACGTCCATGGCAGAAAACTCAGTTACCCAAGAAGTGGGCACAGAGCTGTTTACCTCCTTTGATTCCTGGATCACACCAGGAGAACTGCTCTGAAGTGTTTCCTTGAAAAACAAGCCCGCACCCCCGCTTAAGTCTCAGTGAAGGTAAGAAAGCGAAGGCTGGCCAGCCTCCCAGGACATCTGAAGTTCGGTCACTGAAGACGCTTGGAGAAAGTCTACATCGATATCATTGTTCACTTTGTGCCAGAACGGCCAGGGCCCAGGGACCCACCTCAGCCTGAAACCTGCCAAGACTGACAGACAAGATCAGAACAGCCCCAGCGCAGAACCAGCTGCTGCCTGGAGCGGGCACACCCAGGCGCTGCCGCGCGCCCTCCGAAACCCCAGCTGCCCCTCGCGTACACCTCCCGCTCCCTTTGGGACTGCTAGGCTTAAGCAGAAGGCAGGCGGATACGAGTCTTCAGCGAAACAGCCCTGAAGCCCAACTGGAGTTTTATTTCTAGAGCGAGAGCGGGCTGGGGCCGGGGGTGGAGAGGAGCTCGCCGAGCCGGTGCGCGTCACCGTCGCCCGGAGAGACGCCGCGCCGCGCGATCGGCAGAGGCGCTAGCTCTCCCGCAGCCGGAGGGAGCGGCTCTTTCGCAGCGGAGACACGAAAGTGGCGCGGGCGGCCCGGAGCGCGCGATCGCGGGAGGGAGTCAGGCGGGGAGCGGCCGCCCCCCCGAGCGCTGCGAGGCCCGGGGTCCCAGGGCGCACTGCCCGCGCGCTCCTCTCCCCGTTCCCGAGAGCACGTACGCGGCCCGCGGGGCGTCCCGGGCGCGGGGCTCCGGCAAAGATGACCCCTGGCTGGGTGCTGCTCTGCCTGCTCCCGGCGGTGCGGGCCGCGGACGAGCGGAGTCCCGGGGCAGCCCTAGCGGGTCCCAATGCCTCGCACTTCTTCTGGAACAACTATACCTTCTCTGACTGGCAAAACTTCGTGGGCCGGAGGCGCTATGGGGCCGAGTCCCAGAACCCCACGGTGAAAGCCCTGCTTATCGTGGCTTACTCTTTCATCATCGTCTTCTCGCTCTTCGGCAACGTTCTGGTCTGTCATGTCATCTTCAAGAACCAGCGGATGCACTCCGCCACCAGCCTCTTCATCGTCAACTTGGCTGTTGCAGACATCATGATCACGCTCCTCAACACCCCCTTCACTTTGGTGAGCCGAGGGCTGGGCTCTGTCACCCTGGGTCCCCTCCCTTTCGCCGCCCGCTTTATCCCTTTTCCCGTCTGTTCCCCTCTCTGCCTGTCTTCCTCCTTCATCTTTCTTAGTCTCTCTCTGGTCGACTCATCTCTCATCGCTCTGCCTTGCCCTTTCGTCTTGGTGTGTCTGTTTCTGACGCTGTCATTCCGCGTTTGTCTTTCTGCCTGTCTGTCTCTCCAGCGCCTGTCTCTGTCCTCTGTCTCTGGTTCTCTGTGTCTTCATCTATTTATTTCTTGTCTGTGACTCTCTCTGCTTCTGCTTGTCTGTCTCTATCTCTCTCCTCATGCGTATCCTTGACACTTCTTGTCTGTCTCTCTGTAGTATTGTCTTTCTGTGTACTGTCTCTCTCATCACCTTCTAAGCCAGAGCTTCTGCAGCTCATGGCACTGGGATCAATGGTTTGAGTGTCTGCAGCCAGGTGTGAGTCAATGACCATTTCCTGTGTAATGTCACTGAGCAAGAGTCTGCATGATGATGGAGCAGTAAATCAAAGCCCCTTGAAATGCCAGCGTAGATTGTTAGGTCATCCCACCCCCATTAAATATAGCCCATTAAATGCCATTAAATGCCCCCGCCATGGGATGCTGCTTGAAGCCAGGATGAAATATGAAACAGTTGCTATTTGTTAATGGAACCTTGGGTGCATTTTCCTAGACCACTTAGTTAAATTGCATTTCCCTTCTGTGGTTTGCCAGTGAGGTTGGGTATGAAGTCTGCGTGGTGGAGGACATGCGGGTGGGTGAGGTGGGCTTGGGCCCCAGGGCAGGGGTGGCCTGGGGGCACTTGCACACGGGTAGGGGGAGAGACCCCTGCCCCGCCTCTCTTCCCCAACTTCCACTGAGCCTGGACTGCAGAGTGGTGGTGTCACTACTCTTCTTCCATGTCTTGGGACTGCGGTGCTCATGGATGATCAAAACTGGAAGAGCTATGACCAAGCAGTCATCATGACAGGAACTCCTATTTCTGCAGCATGAGTTAGGCTTTTTTCCAATTTATGAACAACCTTTCTGATACTTGAGTTATTACCAAACCCTATCTGTTCATATGTCTTTCTCTCTCTTTCTTACATACACCACACACACTCAACCAGAAATAACAGACAAGCAAAAAGAAGGTGAATTCCCAAGAGCCTATACATGTGTGTGAACGTCCTTTCAAACATTACATTTAAAAACTGTGTCCTCTCTCTTGTTTTTGCTTATGAGAGCATCACTCCCTTTTGGCACATGAGAAAATTGTGGCACAGAGAGGTTCAGTCGCTTGTCCAGGTCACTTGGCTGGTAACTGGCAGAGCCAGCATGAGAATTTGGTCCTCTGACTCAGGTACGGCCAGAGGTCTGTCCATGAAGCCCCCAATTAGGGGGTAGGGGGTGGGACCTCTTGGACCACTGCTCTCAACCACTTTCCCTACTCTCCTTTCTGCCTACATCTACTGGATTCCTCAGGGGCAAAGAGACTTCCAGATACCTCCCCCTACAACGTACACACACACACATCTACTCCCCGCCGACTGCCTTAAAGCACAGGAAGTGCATCTCTGGCTCCTCTTGGCTCCCCCTTGGCTTCTGACTTGACCATTTGTAGTCCTGGGGGGTGGGCTAGGCCACCCAGGATAGAAGCCTTGGAGCACAGCCCTCTGCTGCTGCCCAGAGCAGGGTGAACGGCTGGGTCTGTACACAGGGTGGAGGGTGGGCAGGGGAGGCCAGGCTGCAGTTCGGAGCTGAGAGCCCCTACCTGGAGGATCGCCTGCAAAAGAGGGGGTGTCAAGGCTCTGAGGACCCAGCCCCTGCTCCAGGTTGATCCAAACCAGCGTGGCCTTCAACCTGACCCATGCAACCACTCCAGTCCAATTCCCTATCAGAGCTTCTGAGGAGCTGGCGATCAGGGTGAGTCAAAGGGTTGATGGGAGGGTCTTCTAAACCTCAGCCAGGCTCCTCGATGGGTAAGATGTCCTGTCCTTGGGCTAGTTGATATCAATATCCCTCCTCCCTGTTCTCCCTTCCTGTCCACTTTACATACTATGTCAGCATGAAAACCAGTGCTGGTTGATGAGAGAAAAGCAAACAATTACTCACAATTACTGTGGCAGAGGTGGGCATAGAGTGTGGTGGAGCCAGGAGTCAGTCCTTTATTTTGATCTGCCAGAGTCCCATGAGCGGGTCAAAGGAGACTTCTCAAAAAACACAACACTTCAGAGGGGCTAGGATGAGTAGGAATTTCTCAGGCTGAGATGCATGTTCAGCGCAGGCAGAGACTGGAGAGGACAAAGGCAGGGGTGTCCAGGTTCATGGTGTGTTGAGCGCTCACTGCAGCTGCAGCGTTGGGGCAGGATGCACCGTGGAGGAGCCGCGGGGCAGGAAGAAGCAGAGGCAGCCAGGGAAAGGTGGGCCGGCTATGAGTGGCCTGGATGCTCAGAGGGTATCTGGCTCTGTCTTGAAGGCCATTGATGATTCTAAGCAGGAAGGAACAAAATCTGACTTTTGGTTAAGAAAGCGCTGTCAGCAGTGTGAAGGCTGAATTACAGGGGGACAGACTGAAGGACTAGAAAGCCGACTGGAGGCTGTGATAGTCCAGGTGAGAGATAAGGGGGCTCCAAGCAGGCCGTGGCCTTGGGACTGAAGAGGAGGGAGTGAACTAGGAAACCTTTCAAGCAGCACTGCTTGGCTTTGGTTCTAAATTGACTGTGGGAGGTGAGAAGCAGGGGTGCCTGAGGGTTTCCTGCTGAGTAGTGTCACTGGGCTGCTCGCATCCCCGTGGAGCTCCTACCTGCCTATTCCAGAGAGAACAGTGTCCGTAGTGTGTGTACCAGGTTCATGATCGGGTCAGACTTGTCCCCCGTGTTTCTCATGCACATGCTCTAGTCAAATCATTCCAACCCTTGTTGCCCAAACAGCTCCTGAGATCCCTGACTTTGTGCCAAGCTCATTGTTCTTACCTGCACACGGGCAAATCCTACTTATTCTGTAAAGCGTTGTGTCCAACTCTTTGAGAACCCATGAGCTATAGCCCTCCAGGCTCCTTTGTCCATGGAATTCTCCAGGCAAGAATACTGGAGTGGGTTGCCATTTGCTTCTCCAGGGGATTGAACCTGGGTCTCCTGCACTGCAGGTAGATTCTTTACCATCTGGGCCACCAGGGAAGCCCATTCTGTAAAGCTCATCTCAAATGTCTCGTATCTTATAATAATGGCAGCTAGTAGTTAAGTACTTGCTATGTACCAGGCACTGTTGTATCTGGTTTACTCATGCTCTCTGCTTTACAGGTACTTGATTTTTATAGCAATCATGTGAACAAGGGTTAGCCCAGGAAAGTGAGGTTCACTGGGCCTAAGTGCCTTGCCCAAGGTGACAGCTATCAGTAGCAAATACTCTGCTGTAAATCACTGCTCGACATTCTTCCTGTCGAGCTGACTTGCTCTATTTCTTTGTGTCATCTCTCTCTCAACCTCAGCCCATTCCCACCTGCCCTGGTGACCCTTTATCTGGGCCTTCTGTGGGGCAGGGGTCCCACCCCTGGGCCACAGACCAGTACCTAATGGGACCCGGGCCCCACAGCAGGTGATGAGCGGTGGGCAAGTGAGCGAAGCTCTGTGTTTACCTGTACCCTTCACTTGTTACTGCCTGAGTACCTCCTCCTGTCCATCAAGGCAGCATTAGATTCCCCTTGGCGCATGCGTCCTACTGCACTTGAATCATCCCGAAACCCTTACCCCCCATGATTTATCTTCCATGAAATTGGCCCCTGGTGCCAAAATGGTTGGGTATCTCTGCCATAGGCCATTGACTATTTTCTATCTTGCATCTAAGATACCTGAGACCTCCTCTTCCCAAGTTGGGAGCTCCTTGATCAGAATCAATGCCTGATCCCTTTTGGGTGTGGAGCATCACTCACAGGAGCTCAGGCGCTGAGTGAGCAAAGAGCTATGGAAGATGTGGGTTGAAGCCTTTCCTGCTCCCCGGGCCCCACACACCCTGAGAGCTGGTCTCCTCTTTCTGCCCAGACCCCGGCCCCTGCTCCCACATCTGCAGATCCCTGGGTCTCCTTCCCAGATGACGTGTCTTGAGGCCTGCTTAGTCAACATTCTGGGGCACAGCCCACATGCTATGTTGTGACTCTGCAGACTTGTCTCCTCTGTGAATCTGAACTCATAGGAGCCAAAAATGAATTTGGTTATTATCATAAAAATAGCTCCTATTTATTTCTAATCATATCTTTCTAGCAATCTGCCAGATATTGTATTCCATGTGCTGTAGTCTTTATCTAAAAAAAAAAAAAAAAAAGCTAATCCTTACAATAAGATACAGATAGACTCATTAGAAAAGACCCTGATGCTGGGAAAGATTGAGGGCAGGAGGAGAAGGGGACGAGAGAGGATGAGATGGTTGAATGGCATCACTGACTCAATGGTCACAAGTTTGAGCAGGCTCCAGGAGACAGTGAAGGACAGGGAAGACTGGAGTTTGCTGCAGTTCACGGGGTCACAAAGAGTTGGACATGACTGAGCAACAGAACAACAAAAGAGATTTTTGAGCCCCCCTTTTGTTTTTTGCAAATGAGGAAACTGAGGTTCAGACAGATTACCTACCTTGCCCAAGGTCACACAGCTAGAAAACATTAGAGGCGGGAAATCTGACTCCAGAACCCATGTCCTTTGCACTCTGTCCTGGCACCTAGCAGGGCCCGGCCCCAGTAGCAGGGTCAGAGTCTGCTGAACTGGGTGATGGAGAATGAGTTGTGCTGGAGGAAAGCATGTGAGACCCACAGTTTGGCAGTGCAGAGTGGAGCGAGGCGGGGAGAGGCCTCCTGTGGGACGCTGCCCGGAGACACAGGGAGCGGGGTCAGGGGTCAGAACCTACTCCTGACGCCCGCGGGTTTGTCTGCAGGTCCGCTTTGTGAACAGCACGTGGGTGTTCGGGAAAGGCATGTGCCACGTCAGCCGCTTCGCTCAGTACTGCTCCCTGCACGTCTCCGCCCTGACGCTGACAGCCATTGCTGTGGACCGCCACCAGGTGAGGGCTTCACCCGTGCCCTGCCCTGCCCTCCCTGGCATTGCTTACCAGGGCGCTCAGGACAGTGCTTCAGCCCGTTTATCAGACTGTTTCTGATGTGGACTGTCTTTAAAGTCTTTATTGAATCTGTTACAATATCGCTTCCGTTTTATGTTTTGGCTTTTTGGCCGCGAGGCATGTGGGACCTTAGCTTTGTGACCCGGGATTGAACCCACACCCCCTGCATTGGAAGGCGAAGTCTTAACCACTGGCCTGCCAGTGCAGTCCCCTAGTCCATTTTGCAAAGAGCCTATTTGTCTTCTTACTGACTAATATGAGCACTAAATTAGGCATATTAAGTCCTTTGTGCTAGGGGCTGCAAAACATTACTCCCCATTTGTTATTCCAGTGAAGACTCCCTGCTGGCATACTGTGCATCAGAAATGACTGAGCTTGTTTTGGGGTGGGGGTGGGGGAGGGGGGATAGGAAGGATAGGAAGGCAAGTCTGGAAAATGACAGATGAAAAGAGAGTGGCAGATAATTGCAGGTCGGAGGCAAGGCTGCTGGCTGGCAGATGAGGTGGATATCCCTGGGCCTGGCTATAGAGGAGGTACACCTGGGCTTGCGGACAGGGAAGCGTGCAGGCGCAGGTGTTCAGCAGGGTGTTGAGGCCCTGCTTACCATCCTGCCCCTTCAGATGCACATGGGAGGCTATGGTGAAGGGAGCCAAAAAGGACCTGACAGCGCCCGTCATGGAGGAGGGTGGTTCCATGCGGATGCCTGGCATATGCTGATTCAGTGAACCTTGGTTATAGACTTGGGTCTGTGCAGAGTCACTGGTCACATGTTCAAGGAAGGGCATCATCGCTTGCACACCACCATATGCCTGGTGACTGATGAAGGGAGGAACAGCCTTGAGGCGTGAAGCTGGCTGCAGGCTCATGCTCAGATTTCTAGAAGATCGTTAGTCTGCTCTGAGAAGACACAGGGGCACCTGCAGGCCAGTATCATAAGGACTATCAGGACAGAAAGAGAGAGAAATTTAATTCTAAGGAGCTCCAAGAGTTACAACAACAACCAAGAGATAGGAAGCTTCTAAGGTACAGACTCATCGGGAGAATCCTCAGTGGCTCAGCAGGTAAAGAATCTGTGTGCAATACAGGAGACCCAGGAGACTTGGGTTCCATCCCTGATTTGGGAAGATCCCCTGGAGGAAGGCATGGCAACTCACTCTAGTATTCTTGCCTAAAATCCCATGGACAGAGGAGCCTGGCAGGCTACAGTCTATAGAGTCACAAAGAGTTGGACACGACTAAAGCAACCTAGCACACATGCACACTGTTCCTTTGGTATTTATGTTAAGTTGTTTTGGTGCAAAGTATCTAAATGTTGCATACAAATATTTCCTGCCTTTTCTTAACCTTCTGCCCTAATTCAACAAGAAGGACTCTGAATCACCTCACCTTTACTTGGGCTATACCTACTTCACTTAATACAGCTAACTGAGGGTCCACCCTTGGACCAAATGTGGGTCTGAGGAACAGGGGGAGGTCTTGCACACACTGGCCACACTACTGTGACATATACCCACACATGGGATCCTGTCCCAGAGCCTACAGGTTCTTGGAGCATCCAGGGCCTCTGACCCAGGCTTCCACTCCCTTTATTGACCTGAGCCTTGAAGGAGTGTGAGAGGCAAGGATGGCAGAGTCCAGAATGGAGCTGTGTTGGGCAGCTTCTGAAGCCTAGTCCATTCCTCCGATAAACCTTAAGAGACTGGGAGAAGACTGTGGAAGAACACAGTAGAAGGTCCAGTGTGTCCTGGGATGGCATCCTGAGGTGGTGGCAGCTCTTTATGACCTCTCCTCCTGACCCTACTCACCCCAAACATCTTTTTCAAGAAATAATGATTCTAACCTAGCCACCTGGGTGTCCATCAACAGATGGATGGCTAAAGAAGATGTGGTGTATATATATATATTGGAATACTACTCAGCCATAAAAAAGAATGAAAGTTTGCCATTTGCAGCAATATGGATGGATTTGGAGGGTATTATGCTAAGTGAAATAAACCAGATGGAGAAAGACAAATACTGCATGATATTACTTATATTGGAATCTAAAGTAACACAGCAAACTAGTGAATATAACAAAAAAAGAAGCAGACCCCCAGACATAGAGAACAAGCTAGTGGTTACCAGTGGGAAGAGGGGAGGAAGAGGCAATGTCTGGGTAGAAGATTAAGAGGTACACACTACAGGTATAAAATAAGCTACAAGGATATATTGTACAACACAGGGAATATGGCCCATATTTTACAGTAACTGTAAGCGGCGTATAACCTTTAAAATTGTGAATCACTATATTGTATACTTACAATTTATATAATATTATACATCAACTATATTTCAATTTAATAAAAAGAAAAAATGATTCTAACCTTAAAATGAGGTTGCTGTGAAATTCCCAAGTCTTTATTTAAACCTTTTAGGATAATTGATTGGCATATAGTAGCAATCGGTTCTAAGATGCTTTTCAGCCCAAAGCTTCTAGTGCTGGTTTTATTTGGGGCTTGGGAAAGCCGGGCCCCACTGCAGTTTAATTGGATTGGCCAAATAGTTCGTTCGGTTAGTGAGTATGTTGTTCAACACAGTTCTTGGTGAAAATGAAAAATGTGTATTTTATTAGTACTTAAAGCTGAATGAATTTTTTGGCCAGCCCAGTAGAAACGACTTTCAGAAACAGCGGTGACCCCCAAATAAAGGTCGATGCAGCTTCCCACAGTAAGTGGTGAGGGTCTCACCCTGTGTGTGTCACCTTCTGACCCCTTGGAGCCCGTTGTAACCTAAAGGATCTGGGCAGACAGGATGAGGTCCTGAGGTGGAGGCTGACCGTGGCTGCCCCTCTGCCAGCCCCACTGTGGGTGTCGTGGGGACAGACCACCCCTTCACTCTTCCCTGACCTTCTCACTGCATCCTGCTTCAGTCAGGCATGACCTACCTGCAAGAGCCATTTGAACTGCCTGAAGTCTCTGAGTCCAGATGGCATCCTCTTTCTACCCCCAGAGCTTGGGCAGTGGGGTGGCGTAACTCAGGGGCTCTACAGTGAACTAAGGGGTACTTGATTTTGTAAGCAGTACCCACCTGCCTCGTTGTGACAAGTGAGCCACATCATCTGGATTTCTCATTTGCTTCAAGCTGTCTTCTGCCAGTGACGCCCAGTTTTGCGTGTTTTCCAGGTCATCATGCATCCGTTAAAACCCCGGATCTCAATCACAAAAGGTGTCATCTACATCGCAGTCATCTGGACCATGGCAACGTTCTTTTCACTCCCACACGCTATCTGCCAGAAATTATTTACCTTCAAGTACAGGTGAGGTGGACCAGTAGGCCTGGGGGCCTGGAGGACCTTGACAGATGGAAACTTGAGCCTCCTCTGAATCTCAGAGTTACTAGCACCTGCTGTGCCAAGCTGGTCTCTCTGCTTTCTTCCCATCCTGTTGCTTCCAGGCCTCTGCCTATCCTCTGCATTTTTTTTTTTGCTTTTTTTTTCTCATCCTTTCTTCTAAACACTTTACAGCTCTTCCTTGTTATTCTCTGTCCCTTTGTTTGCAAGGTCAAGGCAATAGCAATCAGCTTCTGCCACTGGGGACATATACTCACCCAGACTGAAATTCAGAATCATCTAGTCCCTGTTTAAAATGATGAGGTTTAAGTTCTCTTGCACCAACCTACAAACAAACCTGTATATATATGTCTAAGTGTCTCAGGCAGGATGCTGTCCCCACACCTACCTCTCATTTATCATATGCTTTGTCTTGTGCTCTTATAGAAAGGAAAGCACCAGTGTCTTGAAATTTAAATACTTGTGTGTGTTGCTAGCTTGTTAAAGGTGACCTCCCCTGCTAGACTGTGAGGTTGGGGGGGAGCTGGCTCCACTTCTGATTTTGTCATCTTGCTGTCCCTAGCATCTAAATGACTGTCTCCATATCACAAGCTCTCAGTACATATTTGCTGAATGAATGAATGAACAGAGTGATCTTTATTAGTTCATAGTTGTTTTAGCTGAAGTTCTATAGAAACAGATCCTGAGATAAAGGATGATGCATGTGTCCATGATTTTTAAGAAAGTGCTCCCAGGGGACTTCCCTGGTGGTCCAGTGGTTAAGAATTCTCCTTCCAATGCAGGGGACGTGGATTCAATCCCTGGTTGGGGAACTAAGATGCCATGTGCCGAGGAGCAACTAAGCCCATACTACAACTACTGAGCCTGCTCTCCACAACTAGACAGCCTGCATTCTGCAGCTAAGACCTGACACGGCTGAATAAATAAAGGAAGTGCTGGATTTCCCTGGTGGTACAGTTGATAAGAATCCACCCACCAGTGCAGGGGTCACAAGTTCAATCCCAGGTCTCGGAAGATTCCACATGCCGTACAGCAACTAAGCTCGTGTGCCACAACTGCTAAAGCCTGTGTGCCCAGAGCCCAGGCTCTGAAACAAAAGAGGCCCCCACCATGCCCTGCTCGCTGCATCTAGAGAAAGCCCATGCGCAGCAACAAAGACCCAGTGCAGCAACAATAGAATAATTAATTTAAAAAATACCAATAGATTTCTACGTACTTAAAATTTTTTAAAAAATCACCGTTAAAAAAATAAATAAGTGAAGTGCTCCCAGGGTGGTAGATGCTGGGGTGGAGAAGCAGGATGGCAAATGGGGAGAGACCGAGGGAGGGCGTGGCCTGCAGGGGGCGCTCCGGGGCAGACTGTAGCTGCGTCTGCCGGCTTGGAGGTGAGGGAGCTGCGCTCTCTTATCCTGGGAAATTCCTAGCCACTTCTAGCTCTTGGTGAATCTGGGGAAAGTGTCTTCAGTGGCCTTGGGGTGGTCCTAGGCTCCTGGAAGTCTTGGGTACCAGCTGTGTCTGTGGGGTGGGCAGGAGCTGGGGCCCAGTGCCTCAGACCAGCGAGGGGTGCCCTGCTGGCGGGTCTTCCCGTGTGTTGCCTCACCTGGAACATACATTTACACACACTCCTGTGATGTAGGCGGGCTCCAGAGCACGCTCAGACGGCCAACTTGAACTAATTTATGAAGAATCCGTGCCTGAATTCAAGGATACCGAATGAATCACGTACCCACCCCTACTGAGCGCTCAGCTTCCCCATCTGCCTTCACACGTGGAGCGCTGTTTCTTTTTTCTGATAACAAAAGCAAAGAGTGTTTTCTTTGTTTCACTAGTGGCAGCCACCTGTATGTACTGATATTACAAGATCAACAAGCTACGTGATATGATGAGAAAGTAGCAATTCTGAGTTGCTGCTTAAAGATTTTACAGGATGAAAACCCTGCTGGCCTCAAAAGTCTGGACATTTAAATAAAGACCTGAGCTTAGGTTTCCTGCCACAAGTTCCTGCCTTGCTTTTTCCAGGGCATCTTTTAAAATGTTCATTCAGAATTGAGCCTGTGAAAAATTTGTGACCTCCACCCCAACCAGCTTGTAACAGGTGCTTGCTGCCCTGCTCTCTCTCTCTTGCCCATTGGGCACCTGGGAGTAAGGATGGCATTTCTCCCGGCTCACAGCACCCCCAGCTGGGATGTAAGTAATTGTCTTGTGACTTTCTTTGTGTGAATGTATTAAAACTGTGCCTTCAATCAAAATGGCCCTGGGATTTTTGCTTCCCCAAAATTGGAAGGAAGTCCTGAGGGAACTCCCTGCTGCCTTGTTCAGCAGATCATAATCTGCATGTTCTTCATCCACCAGCTCCAGGTTTTCCAGTACACATAGGTGTCCTTAAAGAATTTGGAGAGGACCAGGTACATTCCATAGAAAATAAGTATTTTTGTCTGAGTGGCTGAAGGTGTATGAGTTCCAATATTGCCACTCACATTCTCAAGACTCACTATTTTTTTCCCCCCATTTCTTGGGTCTCTCTGGAATGAAAGTAGGTTGTACAACAGAAATTCCAAGATTTCTCGAATCCATTGTGCTCCCAGGATGAGTTAATTCTAAGACTAGGAACATCAGTGCATTTATTTATTGAACAAACATTTATTTGGCCTCTATTCTTGGCTAGGAACAATACAAAGTAAACACACAGAGTAATCTAGGTGTATTTCTCTTTCTTAAAAATTGAAGTAGGAGAAGGAAATGGCAACCCACTCCAGTATTCTTGCCTGGAAAAGTCCATGGACAGAGGAGCCTGGTGGGCTGCAGTCCATGGGGTTACATGACTGAGCATGTGTGCACGAGGGTGGAGGGAAATGGGTTGGTAGCAATAAACTGGTAGAACTAAAAAAAAAAAAAATTGAAGTATAGTTGATTTGCAGTGTTAGTTTCAAGTGTATATCAGACTATTTTCTCTTATAAGTTATTACAAAATGTTGAGTATAGTTCTAGATGCTATACAGTAGGTCCTTGTTATCTATTTTATATATTATAGTTTTTATGTTAATCTCATCAAATATTAATAATTTATAAGTTAATATTCATCAGTCCTGAATATTCATTGGAAGGACTAATGCTGAAGCTGAAACTCCAATGCTTTGGCCACCTGATGCGAAGAACAGACTTATTTGAGAAGACCCTGATGCTGGGAAAGATTGAAGGTGGGAGGAGAAGGGGATGACAGAGGATGAGATGGTTGGATGATATCACCGACTCAATGGAGATGAGTTTGAGTAGATTCCAAGAGTTGGTGATGGACAGGGAGGCCTGGTGTGCTGCAGTGCATGGAGTCGCAAAGAGTCAGACACAACTGAGTGACTGAACTGAACTGAACTGAATCTCAAACTCCAAATTTATCCCTCTCCCCTGACCTTTCCCCTTTGGTAACCATGTTTGTCTTCTATGTCTATGGGTCTGTTTCTGTTTTGTATGTAAGTTCATTCCTGTCATTTTTAACGTTAAAAAAATTGTATCTTTTTTTTAGATTCCACATATAAGCAATATCATATGACATTTGCCTTTCTCTGTCTGGCTTACTTCATTAAGCATGATAACCTCTAAGTCCATTCATGCTGCAAATGACATTATTTCATTTTCTGAGTAGGATTCCATCATATATGTGTACCATATCTTCTTTATCCATTCATTTGTCATTGGACATTTAGGTGTTATTCTTACCTTTATAGAACTCCCAGCCTAGTGGGAATGCTGAAAATGTAGTCAGATAATCAGGCTGCTCATCATCTATGCTTCAATGGATGGATGTACCAGGAACCCAGGGAAGAGAGAGGCCAGTGTTCCTGGAATGTGGCTTTTCCACAGTAACTGCACATTCTCCTTCTCTCCCCCCATCCCCAGTGAGGACATCATCCGCTCCCTGTGCCTGCCAGACTTCCCTGAGCCAGCCGATCTCTTCTGGAAGTACCTGGACTTGGCCACTTTCATCCTGCTTTACATTCTCCCCCTCCTCATCATCTCCGTGGCCTATGCCCGTGTGGCCAAGAAGCTGTGGTTGTGCAACACCATCGGCGATGTGACCACGAAGCAGTACCTGGCCCTGCGGCGCAAGAAGAAGAAGACCATTAAGATGCTGATGCTGGTGGTGGTCCTCTTTGCCCTCTGCTGGTTCCCCCTCAACTGCTACGTCCTCCTGCTGTCCAGCAAGGTCATCCGCACCAACAACGCCCTCTACTTTGCCTTCCACTGGTTTGCCATGAGCAGTACCTGCTACAACCCCTTCATCTACTGCTGGCTCAATGAGAACTTCAGGGTCGAGCTGAAGGCGCTGCTGCGCATGTGCCAGAGGTCACCCAAGCCTCATGAGGGACAGCCGCCCTCCCCTGTGCCTTCCCTCAGGGTGGCCTGGGCGGAGAGGAGCAGCGGCCGCAGGGCTCCTCCAGCCAACAGCCTCCTGCCGTCCTCCCAGCTGCAGTCTGGGAGAACAGACCTGGCGTCCGTGGAGCCCATTATGACGATGACTTAGAGGAGGAGGCGGGGAAGGGGTGGGGGTGAGGGGCTCTGTCTGCTGAGGAGGCTGGCAGAGCACCTGAGAAGAGAGCCTGGGAAAGAGTCTGTCCTCACACATGATGAACTTCACATGCCAGAAACAAGTTCCTGCAGAAGCCCGAGGTCGCTTGAGTTCCCACAGAACTCTGTCCAGCCTCTCGGCTCCATTAGAGAAAACAAAAAGGCAACTTCCAGCTCAGCACATACTGGTGAACTTCCGCCTGAGACACGCTGGTTCCCTGAGCCAGAGGACCCGGGACAGCTTCCGCTCACATGGGGGTTGAGTTAGGCAACCGCTCCCAGCAGCCAGGTGGCTGCCTTACAACTCCCCACCACTGAGCACTCGTGACGGACCGGGAGTCAGACTTGGGGTGTGCACAGCCCAGGGGCACAGCGCTGCTTGAGAAAGGACTGTTGGCCAGTGAGAGGTTCTCCAGCCAGAGCTGTTGTGGAGCTTTGAATGCCTTGCTTTCTGAAGTTGCTGGAGCAAGATGAATCCCAGTTCTATGGTGGCCCAACACATGACAAGAAAGGGCTAACTGGGTTCTTTACTTTAGTCAACAGGAATTACTGAGTTTCCTTAAAACTAAGAAAAAACTCTCATTGAAAGTTTGAAACATTCAGAAAAGCACAAAAAGGAAAACAAAAACTACTCCCTTCTCCCACTAACTTGTGATAAGTTCTGTCAAAATGCTATGGATTTCTTGGCAACTTTTTTCTGTATGTATGTGTCTGTGATTTTCGTTTCATGTTGAATTACAGTTTTCCATTTAGAAATAAGAAATACGAGCATAGCTGAGAACTCCTGATCCCCTCTCTGAGGAGTAATATCTACTGGAAGAGTTAGATGAGGTGAGAGAAGAGCCCAAGGAGAAAACTGTCCCAGAGCAGACAGACTGCCTGGTCTTGCAGCCTGCAGTGGGAAGGGCCCGGTTAAAGGACCTCTCTTAGGATGGTGGCCATTGCGATAAACCAGGAACAAAACTCATCCAGGAGATACAATTCCTCCTCTCCAGCAATCTCACAGAACAAGATGTGATGAAATACTGCTTCTACTTTTGCAGGAGATGAGAGAGCAGGCTTTCCAACAGGCTCTGAAGCTGTCTAGACATGCTGTTTCTCCTCTGTGTTGTCTGAATAGTAAGGCTTTTTCACACCAATTTCCACAAGACAGCTCACATTCAACCTTACTCTGGTGGCTCACGTGGTACTTATCAAAACCTATGGCATCATGATGGCCCTGAATAACTCAACTTGCCAGAGGAACCTCATTCCAGAGATGATGAGTGCTTTCATCACCTTCTGTCTGGTCCTGAGTGAGTCACGGCGTCACTCAGGAGAGAGGTGCCCCAGGCAGAAGAGAGCTTCATTCACAGCCCTAAGCAAGTGCTGCTCTCACGCTCGTTTGAGGTTTCTTTCTAGCAACCAGAGAGATTCTGAAAGCAGACATTAGCCGTGGAGCTGAGTGGAAAACTGAGGCTTGGGAGAAGGGGTTTGTCTGAGGTTCACTTAGATTTCTTGGCTATTAACTGGGCTTTGTCATGTCATCTGCTGCCCTAAAATGAATCATGGGGGTTCATCATACTAGTCTCTCTGTTTTGGGGATGTTTGAAAATTTCAAGCTGTAAAGTTTAAAAAATCATCTGAACAGTGGGTAAAAAATTGACTTTCATGGGACGTGCATGCTATGTTGCTTCAGTTGTGTCCGATTCTTTGGAACCCTGTGGACTGTAGCCTGCCAGGCTCCTCTGTCCATGGAATTTTCCAGGCAAGAATACTGGAGTGGGTTGCCAAGGGATCTTCCTGACCCAGGGATCAAAACTGGGTCTCCTGCACTACAGAAAGGTTCTTTACCATATGAGCCCCCAGGGAAGCCCATAGGTTCCAGCTTCATGGGAGAGAGGGAGGCTTTTAGGCCCATAGGGATACCAGGAGGGTTTTTTCCAGCCCACATGGCTTCCAGGCCTGGGCCTATTGCCCTTTAATGCTGTCATGGCATCCTTTGAACCAGAAAGAGAGCAAGTGGCAGAGCTTTGGAAAGTTTGTCCTGCTCTGAAATCAGAGGAAAAGTTTCCCTTCACTTCCTCCTCTCTGAGGGCCTTTAGAATTGCTGCCAAGTCCCAGGAAAGGTCTTTCTCTAGTGGAAGTCCCGCCCCACTAAGGTCTGGGTCTGCTGTCAGTTCTCCGTCTCCGGTCTCCCTCCACTTCATCGACCTTCCCTGTGTCTCAGAGCAAAACGTGCTTTGTGTTTATGAATGTGACGCGTGTCACTCTGGAACCTCTGTACCGTGCTGTTGTGAAGACTTGACTGTAACTTGTTCCAGTGTCAATAAAATACATAGTGGCTGTGTGGTCTGTGCTTCCCAGACTGATGATTCCAGTTGGTGACTTTCAAATAGGGGTTCATGTGGATTAGATGAAGAGTGTGTGGATATCTTCAGCCTTCACCTCTGCATCTTACAGCTGAGCAAACACAAACAAACTGAGCGGGTAAAGAACCAGTTGAAAGCCTCTGAGTAGCGCTTCTTCCATGGTGCTGGCTGCAAGTCCCCTCTTTTGTGATTGTGAGTCTGTGTTGAGTGACTGGGGGCTCCATCTGGTCCTTGGTGATCCAAGAGATGAAGCTGCCACTCTCACATGCAGGGTGCAGTGGGTACAGTGTTCCTAGTCACAGGATTTCTGCCCACGCTGGACCGAGGCTCCCCCTCTCCGACCAAGTAAGCTGGGTAGGAGCATCTATAAGCAGCTCTTTGCAGGAAACCCCTCTCATCAGGCAGCCCCCTTTTCTTGTCACTTTAGCATAAAGCTATATTGTAACTAACTTTTAGACCAGGTACCCCCATGCTGTAATCACCTCTGGCCCAGGCACAACTTTCAAAATTTTAATCACACAATACCTTGCCTAACTTGTCAGTTCTTTCTGTAAATCAAAGGAGTAGAAATGAAGAAATAATTTACAGATGACCAGATCTCTTCCCTGGCTTCCCCTCCAGTAATCTTGTGAACAAACTGTGACCAAACTGTGTGAACAAGACTAATACCTAGAGGAGGATCATGAGGAGATGACAAGCCTGCACTCAGTGGGGCATGGTGACCACTCTGACCCCCATCTCAGGGATTAACTGAGACAACTTCCCTCTTTCCCTGCAAAACTTCCCTGGCTGAACAGCATCTTCAGAGCTGGTCTTTGGGAGACACTGACTCCAGCATCTCCCCAGATTCCTGCCGTTCTGATTAAAGGCACCTTGCCTTTCTACCAGCATTTGTCTCTCTCCTTTTCTCTCTCATGTTGATTTTTTTTCATATTCTATTTTTTTTTATTTTTCCATTTATTTTTATTAGTTGGAGGCTAATTACTTTACAATATTGTAGTGGTTTTTGTCATACATTGACATGAATCAGCCATGGATTTACATGTGTTCCCCATCCCGATTCCCCTCCCCACCCCATCCCTCTGGGTCTTCCCAGTGCACCAGCCCTGAGCCCTTGTCTCAGGCATCCAACTTAAGCTGGTGATCTGTTTCACCCTTGATAGTATACTTGTTTCAATGCTGTTCTCTCAGAACATCCCACCCTCGCCTTCTCCCACAGAGTCCAAAAGTCTGTTCTGTACATCTGTGTCTCTTTTTCTGTTTTGCATGTAGGGTTATCATTACCATCTTTTAAAATTCCATATATATGCATTAGTATACTGTGTTGGTCTTCATCTTTCTGGCTTACTTCACTCTGTATAATGGGCTCCAGTTTCATCCATCTCATTAGAACTGATTCAAATGAATTCTTTTTAATGGCTGAGTAATATTCTCATGTTGGTTTCTGAGCAGTGAGCAGACAGATCTGATTTGGTAACACTTCCACTGCATACATAATTACCCTGATGCCATCCAGAGCCCAGGAAATCAGTGTTAAATAATGACCCAGAAGGGGATTTATTGTACCTGGGGAACGTTTGAAAGAAGATGAAAGGCAATGGAGAAGAGAGAGCTAGGACCTGCTGACAGTTCCTGCATGAGACACCTTACTGAATGTTTCTCAGCCCGTAGACTCACTTTCCTTCAGTATTTCTCCAAGGTGGCTGTTATTATTTCTACACTGCTGGTGAGGAAACTAAAGCTCACTCTCAGTAAAGATCCTACAGCCTAATCTTGAGATTAGGTTCTGAGAAGCCATGTAGGAAAAGAACCTGACTTTGTTTTTAATTTAATGTTCTATGAATTTCCTTGATTATAGGGCACTTTGGGGAACAAAACTTGTTTATCCCAAAACCAGTGCTTGAGTTACATGCTTTAGGAAATGGTTGACTACCATTTGGTGGGTCCCAGGGCCCCTTGTAGCCCCGTGGTCAATGAACTCATGCTAGCAGAGCAGGGCAAGTATCACGCTGCCTTGTGGGCCCCCCCAGTTAGAAGCATCTTCCCAACCAGCTGTGAGCCATGGCTGAGTGGCCCGGCCCTGCTTATCAACTGTGGCAGGTGGACGGCAATAGCAGCCGTCTCACAGCCGGCCTGGGTCTCAGGGTCTGCAGGAAGCAAGAGAAGAGCCCGGCTGGACCCTTGCTGCTCCAGGCAGGCTGGGACATTTCCCCGGGTCCCTAGGGTAATGGGAGCTATGCCAGAGTGTCTGGCTGGGGTCGTCTGGGAAGAGGGGCTCTTGTGACATCCACTGGGTAAAGATGCTTGTCCTAGAACATTGCCCACAGATGGTAGAAGATGCTCCTAGTGCTGTGGGGTCAGGACGCCAGCACCTTGTTTTGGCCTCTGTGTACCCTCCCCACCCCCTCACTCTGTCGCCTCACCCCT